TTAAGATAATCCATTTTTGTATGGATGATTTATTATGCTGCCAGAATTCTTTGTATTGAAGAAAGGTATATACAATATTTCAATGGATTCCATTAATAAAAAGTTTCAAAAGTATTGAACATAGCAGTACTGAGAAGCAAAAGAAAGTATTGAGTACAATATGGTAAGAATTTTACATTAATTATTAATAGGGATTGAGGAGACAAATATGCTTTTATTTTGTATTCAAGTCCATGAGTATAATCTTTCTAGAAAGTTTAAGGTTAACATCTATTCATGGGAGATTTTTTGATTTCTTTTCAGGGTAGGAAAGGCATATATAAATTTAAACTTTCACTTCAGGGTGTTGGTTATATTTTGCTGGTAGGCAAATTCTGGAAGCAACTCTATTGAGTACGGGTGATTTAGATTTAATGAATCGATAGTTAAAAATATATAGCATGAGAAATGAGTCTTGCCTAGGTAACTACATAATACCCCATGACAAAGTATTAGTTCATCTTCCTATCGCAAATCAACTCATTCTTGTGGAAGAGAATTTGTAGGGTCCATTCTAAGCTCAGGTTATCTCCCAATATAGACAGAACAATCTCAATGAGAGCAATGGCTTGTATCTGGGATACAATACACAGAATGAAGAAAACTGAGAGATTGAAGAGCAGCTAGGGAAGTAGACAAAATCAATCAAATTACTTCATGTACAGGAACAAATTTCCTATGGTTCATATGAACATTATGCATACCTGAAATGTACCAAAATCTTAACTAAAAAAAGACACAATAAGATATGTCAAGAAACATTCCTAAAATAGGAATTGCGAGGTATGTGTGTGTTCCCGTATTTCTCTGTGTATGTATTTTCATCAATAAATAACATTTGGGTGTATAGTTGGTGACATACCAATTACTAGTATTCATAAACTTTCTTCTGCTTTTAACTAGGCTAAAAATAGCAATCTCCTTCCACTGAAGATGCTGTGTTCTCCTAGTAATTTTACTGACCACAAATTTGAAAATGCATTAATCCCAGGATGATCACAGTAGTTGCAAACCCAGAACAATCAGGGATGCATCTCTGAATGGGGCTTCCACATAGATTCCTTGGTGAAGCATCCCAATCCCACAGTTCGCAATGCCAAATTTGCTAACATCTAAAGGATGACTCAGGAAATTTATTTTTCAAAGAATCTATATGTTCTTTCTGTAATAAATCTCTCTAAGAACCTATTTCCTACTTTCCATCATTGTCTGCCTGACTGCCTGCCATCTATCTAAAGCTCATTTAGACCTTTTTACAGTCCAGAAAAATCCATATTTGTAATCCTGGAATTCTAATAAATTCCTTCCAATCTATCACTTCCACTGAAATGCATGGCAAGAATAAAGATACGTGTCTAGCTGTGGGGAGCAAGGTGTTCCTAAATCCTGCTAGAATGTGTTGATGAATTTTGTCAAAGACTTGCTGCATCTGTAGGCATGATGATGCAATATCTTTTCTTCATTCTATATATGAATTCTTTTATAACTTATTGATTTAGTAAGTAGAATTATCCTTGAATCCTTTGGATA